TTTCTTTAATGCAAAATAGAAAAAGTAGGCAAGATGATAGAGAATAATAAGATATGAATTTTCTTATACTATGGGACCATTTTATGTATAAAATTATATATATATTTTTAAAGTATTATGACAAATAATATTTTTTACAGAAATAAAAAGGCCATGGCCCTTATAATCTTCTTCTAGTTTCATCCTTGCCCACAAACAACCCCTCAACACATTTCTGATAGAGGAAGGAGAGAGGAAAAAAATGAATAAATAAATAATCACTAATCAATTGAAAATCATGAGAGTCACAAAAATTAAAAGTTTCAAATATTTTTAATATTCTCCCAACTTTTTGATAACTTTGTAGAGAGACTCACATGAGCCCGACTCAAAGTAATCACTATTCCCAAAAAGGAAGTGGACACTCCTAGTAGTCTTCCCACTCCTTGCAATGATGCAAACTTCCGTATTTAAAAAAATTTACAATTTATTTTGATCCATCACCTCTAGCACAGAATCATGATTAATAATACTTCCAACTCAAAAAACGTCAATTTTAAATTATGTCATATGATTATTTTAGTTTGAACGGTGTAAATTGTTGGCGATCCTAAACACAATATACTATAGATGAATCGTATATAATTTTTATCTGAGTAAAGATGGATAACGATAATATATATATGATTTGAATTGTGAAATGAGAAAAATGATGATGTGACATGAATTTATTGATGAAAGAGTGGACCATCCAATTTATTTATTCTTAGATTAGGGGGAAATCATTTTCTTTTTAAATTATATTTGTTTGTCTTCGTAAGCCTTTTTATGTGTTTTATACAAATTTTTTATTGAGTAATGATTGAGACTTTTACTCTCACAAAATTCTGACAAATCTGAATCACTCATGATATGAGCCCCACACATATATGGGTGAGCTCTACAAATATATGGAGGACCAGGATCACTTTAAGAGTGTGAGAGATATATTTTAAAGGTGTGGGGGTCATTCCCCAAAAGAGGTCCCAAACATTTTCATTTTTTATTATATTTTTATTCATTATGCATTTCAAGTCTTTTATTTGAAGACCATTTTGGTCGGCCTCTGCTGCTTTAATGAGGAGGGGAGGGCAGCCTTCTGAGATCAAAATCAAGTGGTGCTCAAGTAGAGACGGCCCGACCTTAAAGGCAATTAAGCCAAGGCCACCAAATTAGGAAAATCCACCTTTTAATGTCTATATACATACCCATACAAAATGAAATTTACATTAAAATAAATACAAAAATTTATTATAATTAATATTAAAAGGCTTACTTTAAAATTTTGCCTTCAACCTCCAAAAAAGAGAAAATTGGGGTGTTGGCTTGTTGTGTGTCAAGTACACAGTCACTGTTATATAATCAATAGAATTCATTTTAAGTTTTATTTTAATGATCTGAATCATTCACTTTTTAACATATATTGAGTAAAATTGATAAAAAATCAAATTAATCTGATATCGATAATGCTTTCATCAAGTTACATTTGTATGCAATTTTATACTTAAAAAAATGATTTAATGAAAGTAATATCAATATTTGATATATGCTAATGAAAATAAATAATTTTTCCTAAGGACTTAGTCTTAAAGGGAAGGTAATGAGTTCAATTCTTTCTAAAGAAAAGTTAAATTAGAAAAGTAGTGTTTTGTAAGAATGAAAATACTAACTCTTATAAGAAATTAATCTAACAACTAATAATTAGCTTTCATTGATAAAATAATAACAATAATAATAATGTAGAAGTTGAAATAAATCCAATTGGCCGCACAACCCTAATTAGGGATTGTTTGGAATGATCTAAATAAATATATTTTTATTTTTTTATGAAAAAATGTGCAGAAAAATGAAGAAGTAATGTAATAAAAAAATATAAAAAAATAAAAAGATAGATTATTTAGGAAATACCAAACCATCCCTTTGTGTGGACTGGTTTCTTTTGGGCCGCTCTCGTGGTCAAGTGCCATGATGATGGATGTACTTTGGAGTTATTATTTTGTTTATTTAAGAGAGAGGATTCCCCACTCAGCCACATGAAGAAACCAATACAAAATGAGAATGAGAATGAGAATGAGAGAGAAGAGAGAGAGAAAGGATGGATGGGAATGAAAGTAACGTGAGAGGTTGGTCTAGTTGTTTGTCTGTGTGGATTGGATGATGATTTCGGTGGAGAGAGAGAGAGAGTATGATGATAGAGAATGTGTTGGAATTATATATAAAAGAGAGAGAGAGATCACATGAAGGCACGAGGCCACCTGGCTGCGAACTGAGGATGAAGAGGAAAGGGACTCCACTTCTTTCTCTTAAACCAACAACCACTCTTCTCACTAGTACAATCATGGATGTAGGGACATGTCTCCCCCCCTCTTTTTGGTCTAAAACATGAAAATTCATAATAATTCTCCTATCAAGAATTTTGATTTTGATACAGATCTTCACAAAATACAATTGCTACGACCCCATGCACTTATGAGAGAGAGGAAAGGAAAAATAAATAAATAAATATGTAGTCCATATCAATTGAGGGTCATGGAGGTATTTTTTAGGATCTCAAGCATTAATCCAAGAATTTAAAGATTTGTATACTCTCCTCTTCATGTTATCAATGGTGAGGATGTAAATTGAGTGGATTCGGTTAAGTTGAAGGATCGTTTAAATTTAATTTGAATTATATTGAGAATTGTTCAAGTTTATTTAAGTTTAATTTTTAATTTGAGTTTGCTTAAGTTAAATTGAAATTTGTATAGAAGTCATCCAAGTCTATCCAAACTCAACATCTAACTTGAACTTGGGTCCAATTCAGTGTATTTGGTTTCAGTTTTCTGAATTCAATTTTTTAAAAATTAAATTTTTTATTTTTTGTATTTTTTTGTTTTTAGTGAATATTTTTTAAATTTTAAACATTTTTTTAAAAAACTTTTTTATATGTATCTTAGATGTATCTAAATAGTGAAATATTTGTGAAAAAAAAAATGTATTGAATTTTCATTTTTTTTTATAAATATTTTGTGGTATTTAGTGTAATTTTTAAAGATTTTTTCACAAATATTATACTTTTTAAGTATATTTATGTTAAATGTGTCTAAAAATTTTAAAAAATTGCTTAAATTATTAAAAAAAATATTGAAAACACTAAAATATGAAAAATAAAAATGTAAAATTTTCTAAAAACTATTTTCTGAAAAACAAAACCAAACAAGCTAATTAACTTTTTTTTTTTTTCTTCTTGTGTGACAAATAGAATCAAAACAAATAACCTCACAAATAAACTTTTTACTAAAAGAATCCAACAAAACGATTATTGCAATTTGACACAACATACAATTAGAGTAGAGAATACAGATAGTGGAGAGAGGGTTGCGTTGCAAATGAGAATGAGAATGAGAATGAGGGAATTAAGACTTGATTATGTGAGATATGAGATATATACTTAATTTAGTGGTTTAAATAATTTAACATAATTTGACGATCAATATTTTACATATATTTAATATTTTTATATATTTATTTATATAATTCGAGTATTGAGTTGCTAAACTTGCCCGATGTACCCGAGTCATAAAAAAATTCCGAGTTGGGCCTGCTGGAGTTGTAGATCTAATATATGGGCCATATCTATCTATCATACACGTGACTTTCAAGATAATTTAAAAAAAAAAAAAAAAATCATATGAATAGATATTTGACATATCTATCTATCATATATTTTCAAGATAATTTTTTTAAAAAAAAAAAAAAAAAAATCATATGAATAGATATTTGAGGTGAGATTTTGCTCTATTTGAGGTGAGATTTTTCGTTTGACTTCCCAGTAGATAAGAACTCCTATAATCATGCCAAAAAAAAAAAACTTGCCACATCTTTTTTTGCATGGGTTCAGATCATCTATATTATATGATTGTAATGAAATATCTCAATTACATCATTTAATAATTGTAAAGTAATCCTATAAACTTATTTAAAGGGAGATTTAGTTGTAAGTTCTAATAGATGAACTTATTGTTTGATAAGTCGTATAATAATGACGTTTTTCGTCAAACACTATTAAAAAAAGTTACTGATTGTTAATTTTAATGATAGTTTGAAAATTGTCACAAAAAATGTCATTAATTATAAGTTTTAGCGACAGTTTAAAAAAATGATCACAAAAAAAGTCACTAATTTTCAAATTTCAATGACAGTTTGAAAAATTCGTCACAGAAAATGTCACTAATTATAAGGCAAAAAATCGTCGCAAAAAATTATTTTTTTCGACGATTTTACTATGACTTATTTTTAATAAAACTTGATAGGAATTAAGTCAAATCATTATGACTTATTGGTAGTTTATCCTAATTTAAATTTCAAATTAGGAAAAAATAAGAATAAAGCTTGAGACCCCCAGTGGGGGTGCTGGGGGTCCTTTGTGATTGACTGAAAAAACTGATTTTTTTTTTCTTTGTTTTCAGCCATTGGCAACCCCCATGTGGCACTTGGGGGTGTTGGGGGTGCCTAAATGCTGGGGGTCTCCAGTATTTCTGAAAAAATAAATACAATCATTAATCTAAAATTTCAATTTAGGAAAAAATAAATACACAATCATTTATGTAGTTTTAATCTTGAAAAATGCCTTGGACCCCCACCCCCTCACTATTTTTGATTGACTCAAAATTATTATTATTATTATTATTTTTAAGTCTTGCTCTCACAGCCCCTCACGTGGAGATGGGGTGCTAGGGTCCCCAACACTATTAGATGTGTAATATAGATTTTCCATTATAAATATGTAATTGAGAGAATCATAATTTTTTTTTTCACTAGACCAAAAAAAAAACCCAGAAGTAACCATGGTGAAAAAGTGTTTGAAACCGGGTCAAGATCAACCCGACATCAATCCAAACAAACCCGATTGATCAGCAAAATCTCTAGGCAATATGTAATGATTCACTTAGCAGATCTCCTCAGACATATATTCTCTTAAACTCTTATCACATCATATCATTGGTTAATTTAGCACAAACATAAGCCTCTCTCTCCTCTCTCCTTGGACTGCATTAGTTTAGCACAAAGACTAACCCTCTCTCTCTCTCTCTCTCCTCTCTTCTTGGACGCATGCGCATACACATGCACATTCCATTCAACACACCCCAAAAAAAAAAAAAATATGTGGTCACCACCATTCTTGTTCATCATTAAGAACACATGATTAATACAAAGCACTAGCACTCAATAAAGCCAGTGAGTGAAAAAGAAAAACAAGAAAACCCAAGAAATGGGCAGTTTGTGGATTGTGTTAGTGATATTATTAATCTTCTTGTCTTCCATAATTGTCTACAGGAGGAGCACTAGAAGATTTAGATCCTCAAGATCAAGTTACGGAAGATCACTTCCTTCAGGCTCTCTTGGATGGCCTTTTCTTGGTGAAACAATCGACTTCATCTCCTGTGCTTACTCAGACCACCCTGAGAGATTCATGGACACCCGTCGCGGCATGTAAGTCTCGTACTTAACCCTAATCTATGTTTTAAACTCTTGAGATAGTATGAATCGTGATAAGTACTAGATATTAGTTGAGGGTGGAGGGGAGAGGCTATATCTATATATCTCTTGTAATTTTTTTAATTATAGAAGAACCACAATGATTCTAGATGTAACCCTAGTTTTCATGTAATTTACAATTTTCGTGTTTTTCGTGTTTTTTTTTGGTTGTTGTCGTTGTGTAAGATGTGTTTATTTGTAATTATTCTAATCTAGTATTTTTTTTCAATTATCTTAATTTTCGATACGTGTAGCTAATCCAAGTTCAAGGTTTGAATTAACCCTAACTAAATTATCACATGATTAACCTTAGGACTAATTCATAATTAATCATATGTCTAAGTTTGTGCATGAATGCAAAAATCATGTATCTCTCTTGTTGATTATATGAATGTCTATGGTAATAATTAACATGATAATTGGGTTGATTATATTTATATATAGGTATGGGAAGGTGTTCAAGTCACATTTATTTGGTAGTCCCACAATTGTTTCCACAGATGCAGAAGTGAGTAGGTTTGTTTTGCAAAGTGATGGAAGTGTTTTTGTGCCATCATACCCTAAATCTCTCACTGAATTGATGGGAAAGTCCTCTATATTGCTCATCAATGGAAGCTTGCAAAGGAGAATCCACGGACTCATTGGATCATTCTTCAAATCTTCTTATCTAAAAGCTCAAATCACAGGAGAAATGCAAAAATATGTCCACGAATCAATGGGAGGATGGAGAGAGGATCGGCCCATTTACATCCAAGACGAAGCAAAAAATGTAATTACCTCTCTTCTCGCCCTCTTCAAAGATAAAAAAGAAGAGTTTCTAGGCAGTGTTATTTTAATCATTATGTCACTTTGCTTATCATTTAAAGTCTACTAAGAAAATCTTTAAAAATGATTATTGTCAAAGATCTCAAAATTTTAAAATCTCAAATATCGATAAAATAGGCCATATTTTAATAGTTAGTTAACATGATGTCTCAAAAAATCTTAGGCGGCTACTGTTATGAAACAAATGCTTATGTTTGAAAATCTTTCTCTAGTTTCTCTTGTAGTTTAAGATTATGGGGCAATGATTGGTGACCACAAATTCTGTGGCTTAAATGGCTCGAAAATATTAAAACGATGTCGTTTTGGGTACAAAACAACTCTGAAAAGGCCAAAACGACGTCGTTTTGACATTTTCGGGCCATTTGAGCCACAGAATTTGTGGTCACCAAACATTTTCCAAGATTATGTGACAAGGAACCCAAACCATATTGATAATAATTTTGCTTCAGAAATTGGACTCATAAATAATAATTACATTTTAAAGTCCAACTAATGATAAAAACATATATTGCATAGTAAGTATGTTCCCGAACACTTTGGTATTAAGATGTTACTTAGGTCTCGTTTGATAATTTTTAGTTTTAGTCAAAAAATTATTATAAGTTGTCATATCATTCTCTTTTTTTTTTTGGGCAAATTACAAACACCCCCCTCGAGGTTTGGTGAAAATACAGATTCCTCCCTGAGGTTTAAGAAATTACATCTCACCTCCTGAGGTTTATATTTTCATAACAAATTGTCCCCTGAGGTTTTTATTTTCATACAGATTCCCCCATAATTTTTCCTAATTTGTTATGAAAATTTGACCTTTAGAGGGCAATTTGTAATTTTTCAAACCTCAGGAGGGAATCTATATTTTTACCAAATCTCGAGGGGGGTGTTTGTAATTTGCCATATTTTTTTGGTACATCTTTCTATAAAAAATAAAAAAATTACTAAAAGTTACTTTCAGTTATAGTGACTATTTTAGTAAATTTTTAATTTTTTGGTTAAAATATGAGGTAAAAAAAATTAGTATGTTTAGAATGACTTTTTGATTTTTTTTTATAAAAATATGTGCAAAAAGTAGAAAGAAAAGAGAATCTTTGACATTTTGTTATAAACCATTAGCTTTTAAATTTTTTTAGTGACTTTTTAATTTTTAAACTAAAAGAGTGAGTTGCTAAACGAAACTATACTAAGAAGTCACAAATATTTGTTGATTAAAAACATAAAACCAAATACAGAAAAAATATGAATGAATAAAATTCTATCTATCGATTTATTCTCTATGTTGAAATCTGTGTTTGGTTTCTCTGTTCTTAAACTTATCGTTAATGATCAGATTGCATTTCAAGTGCTAGTGAAGGCATTGATAAGTATAGATCCTGGTGAAGAAATAGAGTTTCTAAGGAAACTATTTCAAGAATTCATTGCCGGTCTCATGTCTCTGCCTATTAATTTTCCTGGAAGTAGACTCCACAAATCATTACAGGCAAGTTTTAGTTAAATTACATTATTTAATTTCTTTAAAAAAATTCAAATAAAATGGTTTGAACTTGGGATTTTGTTTTTCAGGCAAAGAAGAAAATGGTTGAGTTAGTAAATAAAATTATCAAAGAGAAAAGGATCAGCGGAATCCCAAAAGTTTTGAAAGATGTTGCAGATGTTTTGATTGGCAATGGAAGTGAAAAACTAACAGAGGATTTAATATCAGATAATATGATAGATTTGATGATTCCTGGTGAGGATTCGGTGCCGGTTCTCATTACTCTTGCTGTAAAATACCTCTCAGATTGCCCTGCTGCTCTCCTACAGTTAACAGTATGCTCTCTCTCTCTCTCTCTCTCTCTCTCTCTCACGCACGCACGCACGCACAACTTGTGTTGACTTAATAACATTCTTGAAACTTTATGTTGTGAAATCTCAGTTATTATTGATTTTTTTTTTTACAAATTTCACTGTCCTTTTTTGGTTCCTATGTTCCTTTTTAGAGCCTTCCAATAGTTGTACTATTGCCATTTTGTTCCATATCACTTGTGTTTTTATAGATCTAGAAAAAGTATATTGAATGATTAAGATTCATTTCAAATGTGAGTCTTACTATATAGAGTTAAATCTAAATTACCCGTCAATATTCTGACTAAATTTATGGTCAATTTTTCTTGTTTCTTAACTTCTCTACTTCTGTTATTGTATGTTAGATTGTGGTTCTTTTTACTTATACTTCTTTGAGTCATTTGGTTAAATTAATTTTCGGGTTATGAGGCCTAATCACAAGAGGTTGTTGATTACTAGATATATCATGTATTTTAAACAAATAATTGCTAACAATTTGGTGGTTTTATCTCTTGATAATTCTCAGGCGGAGAACTTGAAATTAAAGAGACTCAAAGATCAACTTGGAGAGCCGTTATGTTGGAGTGATTACTTATCTCTCTCATTCACACAAAATGTAAGTTCAAATTGATTCACCAAAAATTATAAAGAATAATAAAAGTAAGTTTACAAGCACAGAAACCGATCACATACACCCCACTAACCAACTTGGCAAAATCTTATTCATTCATATGTATTTTGTATTTGATTCTATGACTGACTTCTTTATTCGCCATGCATAACTTACAATTTATGATTGTGAATGAATTAAATAGGTGATTACGGAAACTCTAAGGATGGGGAACGTAATTGTAGGGGTGATGAGAAAGGCAATGAAAGATGTTGAAATAAAAGGGTATTTAATTCCAAAGGGATGGTGTGTTTTCACATATTTTAGATCAGTCCATCTTGATGAAAATCTCTATGACTGGCCTTACCAGTTCAACCCATGGAGGTGGCAAGTAAGAGAAAGACTTTCTTTATTTTATAAATACATAAATTGATCACATAACTAGGCAGAAAATAATATATATAAATAGACAAAATTTCACAATCTGTTCTGTATTATTAGAATTGAGGATGCATTGTACTAATTAGTAACCCTATTGAGACAATCAATGTAGGATAAAGAAATGAACAATTCTAGCTTCACACCATTTGGAGGGGGACAAAGGCTATGTCCTGGGCTTGACTTGGCCAGGCTTGAAGCTTCCATCTTTCTCCACCATTTTGTTACTCAATTCAGGTAAAAGGCTGTGTCCTCACTCTCAATAATTGTCATCCATTCCGAATACGAAAATGATATTGTCACATGACAAATTTCACCAACTTTTTTTAAGGTATCGCACTTTGTTTTATTTGGAATTTTCACAAACAATTTTATGACCCTTATTTTTTATTTTCAGTGATTTTTTTAACATTTTATTTTTTTTTTAAATTTTTACATTCACTTAAAAAATATGAAATTTGTGCAATTTTTTTTTAAAATTCATTGAATACAAAAAAATCAGCACATTTTCGTATTTTGTTGTGTTCTACGATTTTTTTTTAAAGATTTTTTTATTTTTAAGTGTATCTAGATTAAATAATCTAAAAAGTAAAAAAATAATTAAAATGATAAAAAATCACAAAAATAAAAAATAAATACAGATTGAAAACTCATAAAACTGTTTTTGAAAAGTTCAAACCAAATAGAGTGAATTTTTTTTTTTTTAATATGATGAGTCCAATGTATACAAATGACATTTATTATGTAAATATGTGTAGAAATTTTTATTTTTTTTTTAAAAAAAGAAATAATTCATGCGTTGGTATATAGTAGCCTTTTTTCAAATATGTGAACTTGTAAATACTCCTACAAAATAGTCATAACTTCATCTGAGTTCGAATTCTACTGAAAGGGTGAAAAATAAAGACTTACAAACATGGACTTATTGAAATATCCCATTGTCAATGAATGTAACTTTTAAAACAATTTTAATCCTATTTTCTATATAATTTTTATATAGAACATTCAATCAGATTAATGCGATTGTTTCATTTTTAAAATATAATAGGCCATCTCAATAAGTGTTTTAATTTAAAAAGATTAGAGTCAAACGCTACAATAGATTAGAGACAAAAATTTTAAGGATAAAATCAAATTTTAGGAATGGAATATTTTTAATTTCTAATAGTATTTTTAGAAACAAAATTGGATATTTTGTGATGAAAAACTATCTTTTTGGGACTAAATTTTTTTTGTCTTAAAAAGTTAACTTTTTTTTGTATCAAATTATTTTGTCCCTAAAATTGCATTTGTAAGTGATATCTTGAAAATTGTCACTCAAAGTTTTTTTTTGAACTTTTCGGGAGAATTTCTTAGTGATGATAAGAATTGATCTTCAAATATTCTTTGTAACAAAATTTGCACTTTTAAAAATTAACAAAGAAATTAGTTTATAAAATTCTTATAGGTTATAGTGACATTTGACAGCTTTTAGAATGTATATTTTTCATGCAAATTCCTTCATTCTAGATCATCTCAAGAAAACATAATTTATATCATTTTTCATGATAAAAATGGTTGATGATATTAGTTGGCATCCTTTTTCCCCACTACAGTATATATATATTTTGTAATGATTACAAAGACATGTAAATAAATCAAATAATTTGATTTTTCACTAGGTGTTAGTGAGCATTTATTTTATTTTGGAAGTATGTTTGAAAACACAGAATGTTATGTGAGCAGAGAGAACCAGATTCCACGGACTTCTCAGGCCAAGTAGGTCAGTAGTCTTTGATCACCAAACGGAAAAAAACTGTTCTGAGAAAAAAATTAAAAAATCAGACCATATATTCTGACATTTTTGGGCTCAAAAACCCTTGCTTTGTTAATTTTAATTTTAATTCTAGGATATCTTTGCTTTGATATTGACTTTTTTAGATTAGTTCATTTTTTAATTTTTTTGCAAGTTTTTTTATAAAAAAAAATAATTTAAGAAGTCAATTTTTAGCTTACTTTTCAAAATAAGCCTAAGAATTGATATACTTAATCAGAATTAGTGAGACACGAAACATAAACAAGAAAATAAAAATCAAGTGCACACAAAAAAATTAAAAAAAGTTCACATTGGTTATGTTCATACTTGCTGTGATTTTTGTTATGATCAGAAAATTATAAAATATAGAGATAATCATTTCTCCCTCAGCAATAAATACATAAAAATTAAAATAACCTTATACAAGTATAAAAAATCTAAAATACTCTTATTCTAAAATTAAATGATGAGTGATCGGTATTTTTATCAGAATCAACACTATCCTAAACTTGTGTACTTGCAACATGACAAAGGGTGATGAGTGTGAATCAAAATCATGGAGGGAACATAGATATGCTCGCTTGACCTAACTCATCAATCTGTACACGTGATTCCACCAACACAGATCATTGAACGTGAACCATTCAATTTGTGGCCCATCTCTCCTCAAGGATAAATTATTTAGGAATGTTTTGAGAAGTTGGTAAAAAGTTGACTTTTGATTTTTTATCAAGTTTTTTGACTTTTTTAGAAAGTGATTTGGGAAGTTGGTAAAAAGTTAATTTTTGACTTTTTAAATTAATATTTGTTTATGGCACCAAATCAAAATAAAATGATCAAAATATCCTTACCGAACTTTGGAATTTAAGATAATTTGTTAACATGGAGGGTGTGCTCTTCCCAAAAGAGCACTTAGTAGGTCTGGTGTACTACGTTATCATATATGTTGATTTGGTATGTTAAATTAATAAAATTTTTAAAAAAGTGATAGTTATCGATAAAGTAAATAAAATTCCTTCGTGTATTATGATTTTTTTTTTTTCTCTCTATCTATTGTTCCCATTGATCAGAAACATTGCTGATGTAGAATGCCAGACCCATAAAATAACGTCTCCTCCTCTAGATTGAAAAACAATTAAGTACTCTTCAAGTGTTATGCGGTATTATTTACGTAACTCTTTCGATAAATAAGAAATTACAATACACTAAATATTTTGTATTTTAACTATCTTATCAAGATGAGTCAACATGTTTATTTGATAAAAAAATTTCGATACTCTCACATACCAAATTGACATGTCCAAGAAGTTTTGACTGGTCAAATTATGTACATAAAAATTGTAAGGTTCGTAAAATCTGATCAGGGTTGTACATTTCACCATGTAGTGATGAATCCAATTGATACATAGTGTTCAGTTTGTGAAATCTGATCAGTACTGGTAACTTAATTTTGAGTACTGATGTATTACTTTTGAGTTTATTTGAACTCTAATATATATATATAGATATATTCTTTTTACTATTGTCACTAGTGAGGGTGTTTTATGCCTGCTTTTATGTCTTTTTTTGCTCCACTTTTTCTTTTTCTTTTTTTGTTGGTGGTGCTTTTTGACCTAAAAAACTGTCAAAAAATTGGCGTGGAAAAATAATTTATGAGATTTATATGTTTATATAATTTTTTTTTTATAATAAATAAATGCAGATGGGTTGCTGAGGCTGATTCAATTGTCAACTTCCCAACAGTAAGAATGAAGAAGAGAATGCCAGTTTGGGTCAAAAGGAGAAGAGAAGTTTGAGGAGCATTTCCCATAAGCTACTTTCTTTTAAGGGCACTCCTTAAAAATAATGACACTATTATAAGACAAAAAACCCAACCCCACAAATGACAGGTTAAAAAGGTTGGCTCTGCACTCCACACGTGTGGGAGGGTCCATATGAAGCTGACTCATTTTGTCCCATTTCTTAGGCATTACACATAGATAGGTATATATTTATGGAACAATTGTATTTAAGTCGAAATAATTTAAAATAATTATATTTTTTTGGATGTGCAAGTCAAAATAAGTGAGATTTGTGTCTCATATCTAAGCTTTCACTTGTATTGGACACAGGCTCACTTCTACTTTCATAAAAATATAATTATTTTGAATTATTACCATCTAAATGCTCTTTTTCTTGTATTTTATGGGGACTCACAATTTTTTTTCCTAAGTGTTTTGGCAAATGCTAAAGAGTCCCTGTAAGGCATTGTTCAAAGTTGGGATTAAGGCTTCTTTTTTTTTTAAAAAAATTTAAAAAAAAATTATTAAAAAAGTTCAAAATTCTAGTATCTCTTTACTTTTTTGTACGTTTAAAATCAGATTCCGACGTAGGCCTAAGTTAAAAGGTGAATTTATTTTAGTAAAAAGTGCATTCAATTCGATGAAAGTATCTTGTATTTTTCAAACCTTTTTTTTAGTCATTTTCTTATATCATATGTGCATTTGTTCACTAATTCTTGTAGCCACTCGATATTTTTTCTTTAATTTTTTTTATCATATTTCGTTTATTTTCTCATGTATTATCAATTATTATTATATTATATTTTTTTTTTGATGGATTCTCATGTATTATCATTGAACAAATATGAATAATAAGATCATTTAATGATACATGACATTACATATAAAATATCATCATCATCATAATTCAGTGTGTTGTGTAGAAATGCAATTAAAAGTGGCCAATATTAGAGCTTTCTGCTAGGCAGTCATCACTGTATTTAAAAAGATTAAATTCTGTTGTGTACAAAACAACAATAAGAATATAAAGAAATAAAGAAAATGAGAGAATTTGTTTGATTACAAAAATCAAACTCGAAATAAAAATAAATAAATAAAATCACAGATTTTATTTTGTTACAAAAACAAAATAAAATCTGATTAAATAAACAAATAAAAAATAGAATAAAATTAAACAACTTACTTGGTTAATTTATTTGAAAAAATTTTCTGATAAAGTCCAGTGTTTAACACTGTGTCCTTAAGACAGATTCGTCCTCTCCACGGTGCTTTCAGAATTTGGACGTCTATCTCCCAGGATAAAATGATCTTATCAACGAATAAAAGCAGCACTACAATTTAATCGTTCGTCGAACACACAAAGTGTTTACACTCTTTCTTTCAGAAATAAAATGCAGCAAAATGCAGAGATTTAAAGCAGATGATGGAGTATGAAAATTGGAGGGAAATCCAAATGGGAGGCTAGTCTATTTATAGATGTAACGGTGATTCTTGGTTTTGAATTGAACAGGTATGAAACCTGTTAGTTTCAAATTTAAACAGATTTGAATCTGTTGGGTTAATAAATCAAACAGATAAAAAACGGGAAGGGCTCTGTTTGGATGAGCAATAAATCCAAACCAGTTTAATTCTGTTTGAAAACGGGAAGGGCCCTGTTTGGATGTACAGAAAATCCAAATCAGTTTAATTCGAATTATGGATTTTATTTTACCAAAAAATAAAATAAAATTAAATTCAAATGTTTTTGGCCCAAAAAGATTAGAAGCCCAACCCAACCACGCACCCGCCCCCAAGCCCAGCTCGGCCCGCGCGCGCGTGTGTGGTGATTTTTGGGTCCAATGGGTCTAGCCCATAACCTCTCCCTCTAAAACACTTGGGTACCCCTTGGGGCACGCCCCACGTATCTCACCCTAAGCCTTATAAATTCAAATGTTTTTGACCCAAAAAGATTAACAGCCTCTTTCCACAAAGGTGCTTCAGGACCTGTCATTGCTGCCTTAAAGCTTTGAGTTTCATTTTCTAACAAGTATGTCAGAAAATCTGGACCAAAGGATTTTGATGTTCTCGCTCTTTTACTTCGTCTTGGTTCATCATTAGTTAAATCCTGTTGGTCGAGACTATTACAATTGTTCAGCCGTTTGTGTAAGCCAAGACAATAGATTTCACACAAAATATCTTCTAACACATCGTGGTTCTCACTGTTGTGTTCATTTTGGCCTTGAACGCGCCTGGTTTTCATAAGTGTTTCTAGAGAATTTAGCCTTTGCATTCTCAGAGAACCGGCCCCAGTTCAACACTCATATAGGTGATTCTTATTGTGAGTATCTCTTATACTCGTCTTGATTTTATGCCTTAATCAAGATATAAGTAATAATTAAAAGCAAAGCTTATCCTGGATCACCCTTAATATGAAACACATTTGAAAAATTTTAAATATTTTATTTAGTGTCGACACACAATTGAGTCTCTAATAGAGTAGGCAATATGATAGACATTTTGCCTTACCCCCTCTCTTGATTAGCTACATGTAAAAAGTCTTAAAAATTAGGCAAATTAATTTCTTTAGGCTTTTGCTTGGTCCAAGCTCGTACTTTGGGCAAGCTGATTAGACCCGGATGAAGCTTGAGCTACATCTAGGGTTTGAAGATTGGCTCACCAGCTTGCTTCTTGTCCTGTGAAAGGCAGCTCATCAGCTTGTTTGCGAAAGGCGACCCACTAAGCAGAGTGAAACAAAAAGGGAAATTTAGCTATAAACCCTATTTACCTTTCTTTTATTATTAAAAGGACTAAGAAAAAAATTATATTTTCTAAACCCCCTCATAATTATAAAATTTTGCATAAAGGACAAAATTTATTATTTAAATATTTTATTAGACTATTATACCCTCAACTAAATTTCCTCACCTTCTC